TTTGGCTTTGCAAGAGGCCAAGCACAGGGCCCGGGCTGCCATGGTGAGCCGCCCCTCTCTCCCTCCTTCCCTCCCAGCTTCCCACTGGCTGGACGAGCATGAAACCAAAGGAAAGCGGAGGTGAAGCGAACCACCGAGTGTGGGACAGCCCGGGAGAGGCTGTGTAGCAAGGCGTTTGGGTGGTTTTTTTTCCCCCGTCCAATTTCTGGTGGAGGTCCTTTCTCTCTCCCTCCCGCCCTTCTGTGCCTCCCGCCCTCTTTCTTTTTCTCATGGAAAAGTCTGTGCCTTCCTCTTGCCTGCCCAAACTTTTCTTTGGCAGCGGCGGCGGGCTCGCGTGAGGGGACAAGCCACCTCCTGAGCCATGGAGGGATGGGTTTTGGAGCCCAGCCAGGTGAGGGCGAAAGGCACAAGGTGCAGGGAAGCCAAGGCAGATGGACAGGTGCAAGGACATGCGGAGGGGCGACTGGGGGCACCCACCACCACCGCCCACCACCCCCTTTCCCCCTTTGCTCCCTTGAGGCTGCGGCGGTGGCAGCCAAATCCACCCAAGGCGCACCAACGAGCGAAGAATGAGGAGTTGCAGCACCGGCACCTGGGAGAGCCCGGAGGAGCGGAGAAAAAGGGGGCAAGGGGGAGCCTGCGAGCCCATCACTTTTGGCCTGGGATGGGCAATCGTCGGAGGGTCCTCTGCCGGTGGGAAGCCCTCTCTCGTGCTTTGCTTCCCCCCTTCAAATCCTGGTGGTGTCTCTCGCTTGCTCTTGTGTCTTTTGGTTGTGCGCGGCCACCTGCAAAAAAGCTGCCAGCCGGGAATAATGTGGAACGTGTGGGTCCTGCTCACTTTCATTTTGACGGCCTCAGTCTCTGGGGAGACGGTAAGATGGTTGTGGAGAGCCGGCGGCCATTTTGGAACCGCTGATCAGCTGTTTAAAAAAGTTCACGATCATCGCAAAGCAAATTTTAGCCAGAGGGACCATCGCTAAGTGATCACTCCAGCGATGGCCAGAAGTCCATCGCTAAGCGATTTCATCACTCAACGGAGCAATCGCTAAGCGAGGCACCACTGTATTAACAGAATACTTACATAACAACTCAAAGACCCAGTCTGGGTTTTGGATTACAGTACAATTGCAATACAAATTAATTTGGGCACATTGGGGCTAAGCAGTAACATTTTGTTAAGGGGCTGTTGACCCAGGCTATTAACTTTCTCCCTTCTTCAGTCTCACTTGTCAAAACCAAAGTTAGAAGAGGCAAGCATTGGAAATAACAGGAAAAAGATTAATTATAGGGAAAGAACATCCACTTTTGAGAATAAAAAAGGGAGACTCTAGGCAAAAAGAGAATAGACCAGAAGAGAAACTGAAATTTGTTTGGGACATTGCCTTGAAGAGACTTATTGAGGAACTAAGAGAGTATAAAATGTTATGATTTTATTTTGGGATTTCTAGAACTGTTAAGCTTGATCTGACATTGTAAGTGTTTAGCTATTGTCCTGTCATATTACATATTGTGAGCCATACTAGGTTAAAGGGGAAAGCTAGAAGAGGCTTTAGAAAAATGAGTACTAGTATAGCTAAAGGCTCCAAAAAGATGTATCTAGAGGAGGAGATTAACCAGCAGATTGTCACATTAGGTAATCAAATTGTGGAAACAAATAAGACATAAGACATAAAACATAAGAAATTTATTTGTCATTGCGCTCACAAGTGGGTGCAACGAAATGAGGTGCTCTTCCCCAAGGTAAAACTGGACAACACTACAAAAAAAAAGTTAAAATATACACAACTTTCACCATCCAAATATAGATACCCCGTTTTCTCTCAGCAATTAAAATTCCACCAAAAACCTATGGCCCCGCATTTAAACTCAATACTGCACTTGGGTAAAAACTGTTCTTGAATCTGCTTGTCCTTGCTTTCAATACCCTGAATCTCCTTCCTGATGGTAATAGTTTAAAGAGCTGATATCCCGGATGAGAGGAGTCTTTCAGTATGTTAGATATCTTCCTCTTACATCTGTTCTTATACAATTCTTCCAAAGAGAGGAGTGAACAGCCAATGATGTTTTGGGCCGTCTTAATCACCCTTTGAATTGCCTTTTTCTCTGCCACTGTGCAGCTCGTGAACCATACACAGAGACAGTAGGATAATATGCTCTCAATCGAACTCCGATAGAAGGTGATTAACAAACTCTCAGTCAATTGTTGCTTTCTAAGAATCCTTAGAAAATACAACCGTTGTTGTGCCTTCCTGATTAACACAGCGGTGTTTGCACTCCAAGTCAGGTCATTTGTTATGATAGTCCCAAGAAACTTACATTCAACCACCTGTTCCACACAAACTCCATCTATATACAGTGGCTGAATGTCTGCTCTTTTTATCCTATAGTCCACTATGAATTCCTTGGTTTTTTGGATGTTAAATAAAAGATTGTTTTTTTTGCACCAGCGGGATAGCTGTAATACCTCGTCCCGATACGCACACTCATCATCCCCAGAGATAAGTCCTACTAGTGTACTATCGTCTGCAAATTTGATAATCCTATTAATGGGATGGTTATTGGTGCAATCCGATGAATAAATGGAGAACAGTAGTGGACTAAGGACACAGCCTTGTGGAGTGCCAGTGCTGAGTATCTTGTCAGTAGAGA